AAGAGATATCTTTGAGATAGCTTAGAGATATCTTTGAGATTTCCAGACATGGAGCAAACTCTATGGATGCTCTGCAAAAAATTGCGAAATTTTTGTACTATTCTCAATTAGACATACTCATAGATAAAAATTTTAAGTTTCATAGTATAATTTCTTTGAGTTCAAAAACCATATAAGACCATATAAAATTTGTAACTCCCTCAAATTGAGGGGGTTCAAACTTTATATAATCATACTTTTTGAACGCTGAAATATTATACTATGAAACTTAAATTTTATCGATGAATATAAGTCTGATTGAAAATAATACAAAAATATAAAGAGTTTTAAGGGAAAGGATTGGTTTCAAGGGAAAGGCAGAGTTTTAAGGGAAAGGATTGGTTTCAAGGGAAAGGCAGAGTTTTAAGGGAAAGGATTGGTTTCAAGGGAAAGGATTGTTCTGAACTTAGTTTATCCTAAAATGTGAAACCTTTGTATATTTAATTTTTCTTTTTTTGCAAGTTAAAAGAGTTTCACAATTGTTAACGTGAGTGACACACAGTATGTTTGTGAGTGCGATAATTTAATGATAATATATTTTAATTCATATGACCTAAACTTTAAAACATAAATAGTGCTTACATTTTTCAAGTTCTGTAACGCATGATTGAACTCTTATATGAACGATATAAAGGCATTTATTGCTTGCAAAAAAACATATACATATTTAGCTCTACCTTTGAATTCCTATTCAAAACTCCTATCACTATAAAACACTAAATACTATATTGATGTTTCAAAAAAATTAAAACTTTTAAATGCCCTGTAACCTTTTTCAAAAAACAATAATTAATGGGTTTGTTTACTTAATGTTGTTTACTTTTTAAAAGTACTTAAAAACAAAACAAGAACACAGACATCAACAACAACAACAAAAAACATAGACATCATCAACAAAAACAAAAACAAAACACAGATATCAACATCAACAAAAAACAAGAACACATGCATCGTCAGCAAAAACAAAAAAGACATCATCTACGACAACAACACAGACATCATCTACAACAACAACAATAAAACGAGAAAACAGATATCATCAACAACAACAACAAAAAATAAAAATAAATAAGTATCAAAAAGGAAATTTATTTTAATTTAAAATTTATTTAATTACCCTCCTCCAATAATTAGTTGTTTGTTATCACAGGAAATGAAAAGCTCAGCCAAACCAGTCTTCTTTACATGCTCTATTTCATTTTGTTTCTGGTTTGTGGTTTCATCATCTAAAATAACATAACTATCTTGTGGATACTTAATGTTCCTGGATTGGTTAATAGCTATTGCTGAAATTGCATTATCTTTTTCTTGCTTATCATTTGTTGGATTTTTTATCTTTTTAAGATTATTTTTATTATTAAATGAATCAGTCACATCTAATGTGTCATAAGCAATTAATGGACTTGAATATTCATCTCCCCCAAAATGCATGTTTCTTGGCAAAGATGCTGCCAAGGGTATTAACCCGTCTTGTAGGCAAGAAGTTGATCCAGTCTGAATTTTATTTTCAATGCTAAAAACATCATGGTTAGAACCTCTGTGCATAAACTTATTAGATAAATTTTGTATCAATGTATGCCTTAAAGGCTCGTCTTTATTAGATTTATTTGACAAATTACGCTTAATAGAGCGCTTTGAAAATTCATCTGATCGTGTTGAAAATGTGCGACTTAATGAACGTTGCCTAGAAGTTTCATCATACTTGTGAGATAAGCTGCGCTTTAGAGATTGTTTTGAAGATTCACTATGTTTATTTATAGAAAGATCATCATTATCCGAAAGTTGTTTCTTTACAAACACGTAGCGACTTATATGATGCTCAGTTTCAGCCATATTCCAGTGATAACATATTGCAAAAGGAAGAAGTTTGAATACAAAAGTTTCACCAGTGCCAAAAAAATAATTAGCTTTCTTACCAAAGTTTCGATTTATCAATGAGGATGAAAGATATGCACCAATTACCTATAACATAATATAAAAATAATTTTTTTATTTAGGAAAAGTATAAATTTAAATGTGTTAATATATATAAATTTATAATAAATTTATACACATTAACAAAAGAAAAAAATAATAATAATAAACTTGAAAATAAAATATATATAAAAAATTGCTATGGTGCAGAATTTGTGTCAAAGGTAAAGAATTTCACTGATGGTGTAACTTGTTTCTTAGCAACATCGTCTTTTAAAGTTGATGCTTTAGAGTCAGAGAGAATATGGGGAGGTTGGAAACTTTATATGGAATCAAATTAATCTGCATAACGGCATAAACAGACGGTAAAATATAGATTTTGCAAACAAAAACAGAAAACAAAAAAAAAAGGTGTTCTTGCATCAGAAGTATCTAAAAAAAAAAAAAGTCAAATTAGCTGCAAATTCAGGATACCTCTTCCTCTGTTGTTTTAATAATCAACAAAGTTTGTTCTTCTTCTTCACATTTTAAGTAAAGTGTTTTCAAACTAAAAAAGAAAAAACTAATTAAATTGTTATGCAAATTATTTCACTATTTTTGCTAAAATAATAAAAAAAACTCATTTTTTGTTAAAAAATATAATAGAAGTCTTTATACCAATATTTATATGATGATATATTATCGTATATGCCTCACAATCACTTGAGTTTGATATCCAACTCATGTGATTGTAAGACAAATTTGTTTATTGGTCAAGATTGGGAAAAAATATGAGATTTTTTTATCTTTTAATTTAAATACAACCTATCTTTTTAATAAGTTATATTTAAATTAATTATCATTGTTTTCCTAACAACAGCAACAGGGAGTATTTTTTTAATTGCAGCCCTGAATAAGAGGAAAATTATTACTTGCTTGAATTTTACAACATTCAATTCAATTAGAAATTTGCATTTTCAAAATGAAATAAGTTTAAATAATATAATTCTTTTATTATTTAATGAAGAACGATGTTATACTGAAATGGGATAATATCTTTCAAAAATTAAAAACTTGGAGAACAGAAGAACTCTTGAAAAATGTAAGTAAACTTGCGAAAATTGAGAGTATTGTTGTGAAAGAAGTTTGTGATTTCATTAGATGTTCATTCTCAAGTCAAAATTACTAAAATATCAATGTACATAATTAAAATAATTAGATTAAATTAAATCATTAAAAAAACAAAAACATCACAAATATTGAAGAAACCTTGAATTAGAGGGTGTCCAAAACTTTTTTGGATTTTGTGTAGTTAAACCTCTTTTTCTTAATTTTTTATGCTGATTTCGAATTACTAATACTTTTTTATCATTACAAATATTTGGCCTTCTACTTTAATTTCAATAAAATACGTAATCATTAGTTACAAATACATATAGTAGTTATAAATACAACAAAAAATTAAAAATTAGTTATAAATACAACAAAAAATTACTCCATATAAGTAACAATTTGTAACAATTACAATTAATAGAAAATGCGAAAAACTTCAATGCAACTGTGGCACAACAATTTGAGTTCTTTCTCAAAATCAAGAATTCTGAGGTTTGATGTCGGCTCTGACCAGATAAGTGACATTGGTAAGGAAGGAGGCGTAAACTTTCTAGTTAAATTGTTTTTTCACGTGCTTTGTGATAAGACACTCAGTTCTTCTTGGAGCACTTTAACAACTAAAAAGTCATTGCTGGTGATTGTGGATTGTTGTAAGGAGTTTCCAAGTTCAGTAGAAACTTTAAATTATTAGCTTATTCTTCAGTAGACATAGGACGGTGCTTTTGATTTTAAATAAAATCAAAAGCACCGTCCTATGTCTACTGAAGAATAAGCTAATAATTTAAAGTTTCTACTGAACTTGGAAACTCCTTACAACAATCCACATGATTTGATCATGATTTCACAATATATTGAATATTTAAGTATATTAGTACAAGGAATTTTTGTAATCAGAATCATCTTATCATCCAACTACTTACAACCTGACTGACTTTTACAAGCTGACTGAGACTTTTTCCGTGATTTTCATTGTGATGGCCCTTGAGTAGAAATCTTTTGTCTTCCTGTTGACAAATGTTCTCCTTACATAACTTCTTGAATTCACGCTGGCATAAAATCTTTTATTCCCTCTCAACGATTCCAAGTCAAGCTTCACTCTTCACAATGGTTTTCCTCATATTGTGCAACTGCAATTTCCAATCAAACCATTACTTCCATATCTATCAGCAAAACAATTCTCCAGAAAACAGACACCTGTTTATTACTGCTAATAATAATTGTAAAATTTTTTTTTTAAAAGGTTTTGTCAAACGCCAAAGTCCACTATTTTCACGCCATGAAATCTTGTATTTCATCACAAAAATTAAGCTCTCGTGACTTATGAAAAATCTTTAATAATATCAATAATAAGGGCAAATCTGTAATTCCACCTCTCCTGTATGGTTTAGACTTTGTCACCTCACCTAAAGACAAAGCTGAATTGTTTGCTAAGAATTTTTCATCAATATTATCTCTTGTTCCACTAGTTGCATTTTACCAGATATAGCCAACAAACAGGATGATCGATTGCTTGATATTCCTATCACTTCAGCTACTGTCACTAAAGTGATTTCCTGCTTAGACTCTTCTACAGCTTGTGGTCCAGATAACATACCTGTTATAGTCTTTCAGAAGTATTCTCTGCTGTTGCCATCTATACTTTCAAAACTAATTAAATAGATTATCAGAGTCTTGTTTTCCAGCCTGCTGGAAAACAAGACTCTGATAATCTATTTCCCTATTTTATATTATCCCTATTTTCAAAAATTCTGGAGGGCGATCTGACTTGTGTAACTACTGTTCTATTAGTCGTCTTCCTGTCATAAGCAAGGTTTTTGAAACTTTAATTAACAAACACTTAATCTCTCATCTTGAATCTAACAACTTACTTTCTGATCATCAATATGGATTTCGATCTTCTCATTCTACAACTGATTTACTAACAGTAAGTACCAATTGGTTTTGTTATGCATTAGATAGAGGTGAAGAGGCTAAGGCTATCATTCTAGACATTTCTAAAGCTTTTGATAAAGTTTGGGATGCTAGTCTTCTCCATAAGCTTTCTTCTTACGGTGTATCAGGTAACATCTTTAAAATTATTGAATCCTTCCTTTCCAATCGTAGTATAAAAATTGTCCTCAATGGACAGCATTCTTCTTCATATCCTGTACCTTCAGGGGTTCCTCAAGCTTCTATCTTGGGCCCTATACTCTTTTTAACTTACATTAAAAATCTTCCAGATATTCTCACATCTGAGGTGGCATTGTTTACTGATGATATTACCATTTATTCTTCTCTTGATAATAAACCAACAATTTCTGATTGTTTGGAGGGGGCATTTGAGCTTGAAAAGAATCTCACTTCTGCTATAGCATGGGGCTTACAAAGACTGGTGAACTTTAATTAAGATAAACCCAATTTTTTTTCAGCTAATCATTATTGCAATAATTTAGATCTTTCTATATTTATGAACGGTAATGTACTTGATGAGTCATCTAACCTTCATCTTGTGAGATTAACTCTTACTTCCAATCTTTCTTGGAAACCACATATCAAATCCATCATAAAATTAGCATCTACTAAGGTTGCATCTCTTTATTGTGCTTGACACTTTCTTACTCCGGATTCTATTATTTATCTTTATAAATCTCAAATCTGTCCTTGTATGGAATACTGTTGCCATATCTGGGGTGGATCTTTTAATAATGCCCTTGCTCTTTTAGACAAAGTGCATAAATGCAATGCAAACATAGTTAAACCTGCTCTTGCAGCCAACCATTATCACATTGTTGTAGAATTACTTCTCTTTCTCTTTTCTACAAATACTATAATGGACTTCTTGTGCCATCTACTTAAATCTGTTCTCGTGTTACTCGTCATTCAATTAAGTCTTTTTCTGTGACTGTTCCTAAGTGCTCCAAAAGTTCTTATTTGTCCAGTTTTTTCCTCAAACATCAGTTCTTTGGAATTCGATTCCTTCAATTTCCCCACCTTCAAGATCCCCACCACGTCCCTGGTAGTACCTGTTAGATCTCTCCGATGGAGAGCTCTAATATTCTCGCCAACCCGTTTTATGTCTTTATTATTCTGATTTATACTAAAAAGAAAGCATGGCGTGTTTCGCCATTTTTGATAATATAAACAACTATTCAGTCTAGATAATCAAAGCAATCACAGGGAACCAACATATGGTGCCGAAACTTTTATTTATATCTTAATTGGAAGTTCATAATAAAATAACTCTTTTGATAAATTAAAACATGGATATGCAACTAGAATCGATGAAAAAATCAAGAAGGATGCATAAAATGTATGCATCAAAAATTATAGAAGAAACGAATATCTTATTAGATAAGGAACTTGAGTCTAGCGAAAATCGTGAAAATGTGGAAACTGACTTAAATACGAACTTGGAGCTGTTGAACATAAAAATGAAAGTTATAGAAAATCTTAACGATAAAATAAGTGAGTTGTTGGAAGATGATGATGAGATTTGCACGGATATGAACGAATCTGGAGACTTTCAAAGGTACATTTTAAAAACCACTATACGCATCGAAAAGTATCTTAAACAAAATCTTAATGAATCTTCATTCCATATTGAGAACCCAGCTTCCAAACCTAAATATTCAATCTCTGCCAAACTGCCCAAGCTGACACTTCCTAAGTATAGTGGCGATCCAATGACCTTTCAATCATTTTGGGACAGTTTTGATAGTGCTATCCATTCAAACCAAGTATTAAATGACATTTCTAAATTCAATTACCTCAAAAGTCTCTTAGAAGGAAATGCGAGTCTTTCAATCCAAGGTTTAGCCATAACAGGTGAAAATTATAGAACTGCAATTAAAATTCTTAAAGAAAGATTTGGAGACGAACAAGTGATAATAAGCGCTCACATGGATGCTCTTCTCAACATTCAACCTACTCAAAGTAATAAAGTCTCTGAAATCCGAACAATCTTCGACTTAGTCGAAATTCATACTAAAAACTTAGAACTCTTAAATGTTAACTCAGAGGATTTTGGTCCAGTACTTGTATCAGTAATAATGAGTAAATTGCCTAAAGACTTTAAACTCGACATTACACGAAAGATGCCTCAAGGAAAGTGGAAAATAATAGACCTTATGAACTGCTTCAGAGAGGAACTTATAGCTTGTGAGCGTTGTATATCTATGGAAAAAGGAATGAGTAACTTAGACATAAATCAAGATCATTTTCCAAAATACATATCAACATTGCACTCTCAACAAAAACATGTAAAACCAAGAGAGTGGCAACCCAAATCAGTTAAGCTCATTTCTTGTTCATTTTGTAAAGGTAAACACCCAAGTAATCGGTGTAATGTTGTTACAGATGTTGTTGCAAGAAAACGTATTATTCAAACCAAAAATAAATGCTATAACTGTTTAAAATCAGGACATTCTGTAAAAAATTGTTATTCGAAAAATATTTGTTTTCAGTGTAATGGTAAGC